TGCTATAAAATAAATCTAGACGATTGATTGCTTGAAAATTTACAATTCACATCAGCACGACATTTGATATTTGCTCTTGTTTTTTTTTTCAAATCTCCAGGCTAAGTCAAGAGCACCACGTTAAAAAATAATAGATTTTTACTGCATATGTTTTGTTTAAAAAATATACTGTCACTCAAAATTCAAGAGAATACAAATGTCAAATGCTTTCCTCAGCAAAACTGAATTTTGAGGTAGTGGTTACTATAGTTACTACCGCGCGCATCGATAACGTTGAGTATTTTTAAATAATTTGGACAGTCTTGTTCAAAGTATTGAAAAGATACGTCCAACCATGTAAAATTAAAAAAAAAACTCTCGGTACTCATAACGCCACCATCGCATCTCGATGTAAGACCGATAATTTTGTTTAAAATTACTCTTTGAATTCAACACTACGCTGAAATAAAGTATTTATATTTGTATGTATGTAACTTTCTTCTAATTCGATGAACAATGTAATATTACAAACATATCACATATTAATAGATGAGAAAAGATAACCATACTGATAGATAAAACGTTGTCTTATTTAAAAATCGTGGTTTTATTTTCCTTGCTAACGAATATGGTTTTATTTAAATATTATAATGATACATACATAGATTAAAATATGTATTAAAATAGATATTAATATTTATTTTTGATACAAAGTTTATTCATAAGTAAGGTTTTCTTAATAATTATAAGGATTTTATAAATTGTATCTATCCCATTATTCTCGTACTTCAGTTGAAACCTTGAACTTTTGAAACAACAAGCTTAGTAATAAAGCTATTTAATGGAATTACTTTAGGATAAAATACCTCCAGTCCATGTTGCGTGTGACGGTAGTCAATTATAAAGCGTAAATACTTTGTGAAAGTGAGACTTGATAGTATATATATATATTAACAGAGTAACACAGATAATACAGAGAACAATGTGTACGATTGAACCAATTATAATTTTTTGAACTTAGTTATTTTTTGTTTTGCATTTACAACATTTTGTTTTGTTTAATTGACCTGATAAGCAACAAAAATGTATAATGAAAATGATTTGATAATTTTAATATTATTATTTTCCTTTTTGTAAAATGAACGATTGTTTTGTAGTATAGTAATTAGTAATGCATAAATTTGGTAAATTTTAAGCTTAGATAAGCAGTTGTGCAAGAACTGTCCAATATCAGCAATTAACAACAGATGTAGGTATCAATAATTATTTTAGTAACAGTTAGTATCGCAAATAGCCGGTGTTTCCGCAATTTTGTTCTGTTTGCCAACAATGGAACAAGTGGCTAGGCGTTGTCGCTGCGGCGGCAGTGCGGCGAGGCGTTTAATAATTTACAACAAGTCATTAATGTGGCGTGCCGCTTGCGCCCGCGCCGAACTGGTCTAGCGTGTGTCAATGTTCACTCGATTACGCCGGATTTTAAAATACGTACGCATTTTATAGTTATGACTTATAGAATCGATAAGAGTTTAATGAATATGTATTGACCTAAATTTATTATTAAACATCCAATATTATTTTGTTAGTATTACCTGATTCATTATTAGACCTGTATTCATAAGTGAATACTGTATTGACTAATATAATCTATTAAAAACAGGGAAGAGATCCTTACATAATATATTAACATTAAATACACAGCATTACAGTGGACACTGGACAGTGAAACAATTGACAAGTGGCGCCCGAGATCGCGAACGATCTGTAATCGTGTACGTATTGAAGTATCAAGCAACTATTATTGGGCAAGATTCTATGTATATTTACAGCAAAAATACATTAAGCGGCCTTAAAATAAAAAATACAAATTATTTACAAACTTATACAAAGTTATGATTACTTTAAATATACGGCTACGGCTTTGTTGTACTTCTTGATATCTCATTCAATATTAAAAGGAAACAAAACATACCTTATAAAATATATCAAATTAAAATATGTAATCAATAATAAAACAAACAAACAATATATTGTGTCTTACTTATTTGTACCGAATATTATGGTGAACGGCATTTCTTATAGCCACGCAATAGTTCCGTGTTCTTCCTACATCGTTATTTCTCGTTACTGACAGCAGAAATAACTAAGTGAAGATATCTCGTTACTGTGGATTATTGTAAATGTACATTTATCTGCTCTTGTACCTTTTCACAAATCATCTGTTACTTATATATTTTAAAAATATGGGAATACTTGAGTATTTTGTAAAGCAAAACATGATAATCTCACTGTGAAATGTAAATATGTATTTCATTTATCTATACATATATTGAATTAATATTTTCAACTATTTATTGAAAAAACTCATTGGCTGACTCAATGCCTAAGCCGCTGAATCCAAAAGCATGATTTGTTATAATGAAGTTGAGCACTAAGCAACGATTTTTGAGAATCCTAGCCCCAAGGAAGTGAATAGGGGATGAAAGTTTGTACGTACTATATTTATTTTAGAAGATCTTCAAATATGAAAATATTTGATGTTTGAAATACGAACACTAATGCTTTGGCTTCTGTTTACATTGCTGATGGGAGACCCCAGGGGTTTCACTGATTAATATATATTTTTTTTGATTAAATATATTTTATCGGTAAAGTGTAGGTCATATTTATTAGGACTTTTTAAGTTATAAAAATAAGTAATGCATATTTTTCAAATTGTAGATTAAATAGTATATAAAATGTAGGTATGTACAATATACATGGTATGTACGTAAATAGAAAATTGTCATTCGAATGAAGAAAGCATTGCTTCTATCGAGATGAATCAGAAAATCCAGCTTCATTGCTAACTTATTTGTCGGTTAAGTTGATTGCATGACTCCGTGTTGATACAGGATCTGCTATCGACAGATACTGCCTGTAAACACGTCGTAGTATCGCAACAATCTATTTATAATGACCGGCCGCGAATTCGTTATCTTAAACGTCTAATATTTACAATTCAAAGGGACACCTATCTAGTGTTTGAAAATTTAAAATAAATATATATAATTTTAACATTTTAAGTTCGTAAAAATACAAGTAGTAGATACTTTGAATTACTATATGTCTTTTTATTATTTAGGTAATATACAGGTTACATATATGGAATAAACATATTATGATTTGTATTGTATATTTTTGCCCTCGACACTTATTAGTCGTTGATGTCTTTTCTATAGAAGAAATGAAACAATTTTAAAATGGATTTATTTAATAGCAAAGCTTTAAGAAATTTCTTGTTTGTCAAATGAAATTATAACTATCGATATAATTCAACGAAAAGCACTAATCTCGCAACGATTAGCAAGCCCGTCCCTATCGGCGCGCGCGCACGTGCGCTGCCAGACGGTGAGTAAGCTCGTAGTACCGGTCCTTAGATATCTCTGTTTATCTAAACCTTACTTTAGAAATATCGAAAGCTTTACTCCCCGCTTATAAAGTCCAATATGACATTTGTGAAATGTGACATATATGCAGATTAACTGTCTTCTAGTGCTTTTCTGCAGACTTTACTGCTACTTTTGTTACAAACTACACTATCCGAATGTACCTATACTCTACACTGTGCTAAAAATAATACTAGTAAAATAATTAGCTATAATAAAGATATTCATATGTTTGAAAACTTATATAAAATTCAGTTAAATAATAATTAATTGTTAAGAGGAACTAATTAATTAAAAAAAAGGTTCAGTTGGACTCTGACCCCCGCGCGAGTTTGTGAAACTAGATGGTTGCGCCTTGCGGTGCGCATAGACATTAGCAACACTCATCATTGTGTGCGCCCACCCCAATGTTCATTCTCGGAAATAAATCATTATTAATTTTAATTAAAAATGCTATTATAAGCATTTAATGACAAAAACATGATTACTTCATTCTCAAAATAAAATAATAAATTTTAGATTGATAGAATCTATGTTTAATGTTATAACTTTAAAACATAAGTGATATAATTAAAAGAACTTTTTATAAATTAATATTTAGAAAAAGTCGATATTATGAAATACTTATAAAAAGGGTTACTCATAGTAGTTTAAAATTACCTTGATTATCGTGCGATATTGTTGTCGGTAACCGTTAAAAAGGAACCCTTAATAAATAAGGAGTTTATTACGCTAATCGCTAAACGTTCACGATTCTTATTGTTATATTTTTGATATCGTAAGGTAACCCAGAATTACATGTGGGAACCCTACAATATCAACCAACTCATTAAACTTTGAATAACAAATAAATAAAAATTCCCATAAACCTATGCCTTGTTACAGTGAATCGTTAATCGTTACTATTTTATTACACACTAGAGAGAAATAACGGATCAATTACACGTTTCGAATAAGAAGTTGTAATGCTTTGTGAAATTAGTGTCGAAAATAAATACTTAAATTAGAAGGGTTAGATTACAAAATTATTTGGCATTTAGCACCATGAGTAACATGAAGTAGATACAAATATTTTAAAATATTGGCATATGAAAACTAACTTTTTTACATGTATTAATGACGAGTAGGTAATTTCTTTTTATATAAAGTAAAGTCTAAAATAAAAAGCGTTAGGTTGTTACACTTTAACTAATAAATGTTTTTGTAGATTTCTAATTTTACTTGATGTTAACAGATTTATTTACATATATAATATATATTGTAGAGCGACTAGTCATACTTTAGCTTACTATAAGATTCATATGAGTGGTCGTGGTTACCTCGTTCCTGCGCTGTGGTTACGAACTAAATTGGCATGTTGTCGTGGCCGCTGGCTACTTTAAGGGTCTACATTAAAATATAGGCTTTTCTACGCAACTTTAAAATCTTGTTTTTTTAAACGTAATTAATAACATACGCTAAAAACATATGTATTTTTTCAATAATTCATCATATTTTAAACTTGCATGGTTCCGGAATCAATTCTATGATATTTCATATAAAAAATTGACAAATAGTAATTAATTCTGTCTGGATATCTATGTAAATATATCACTACGTCGAGAAGACAAGTGCGACGCGGCCTGCAGCGCGGGGCTGCGCGATAAAAGCGCGCGTTAGCGCTAAGTGAACTCCGATAGCAGCTGACGAGTCAATCGCGCCGTCCGCGCCAACCGCGCCCACGCAATGCCGAGTACCTAGCTAAAGTAATTGTCAATGTTTTAACAATAATTACTGTTTATCAAAGATGCGATACGTACACATATTAAACTTTGCAAAAATGTATATTATCTTACAAAATAATTATAATTAAAGATATGTATATAATGTAACCTTAAAAAGTTAAATGTTTGGCTAATATGGAAAATTCACAAATATTAATTGCGACAAGATTATTTTAAATATTGATCATATATTCATGATATTTATTATTTTAAGGATTTCAATAGAGCTATCGATTTGTCCGAGTAATGTAGAACAAAAGCATATTTCTGTATGTCTAATTGTGTCTTTGGAAATTAAAAATAATTAATTAAAGCTATTTAGTTATATTATGCGGTATATACGATTACACTTTACATGTTTACTAAATAATGGCAAATACCTTGAATATAATATGTACGAGTAAAAATTTCAGGTACAATAAACCTTAAATACAAAAGATATTTTAATTGTTAATCATTCTTATCGTGCACGCTACTTACATTTCGTAGTAGGTGGGTACAGTAGGTAGGTACTATGGATGCGTTATCGCGGTACCGTGATTTACTGCTAAGGCTCTCTAAATGGAAGTTCATTATACCTGCTTAGGTATCGTAAGGTGTTCTGAATAATGCTAAGATAACAGTGAATAAATGCCAACAGTGTTTAGGCTAGGTCAAGTTAGGAGCCTTAGGATATACTGTACATAATCTTTAAATAGGGATGTCCAAAGTGAATGTTATTTTTTGCTAAGCGATATCAACATTCAAGTGGCATAAAAATATTATCAAAACTTTTAGGTTGTTACATATTTCCAACGTATTCCCAGACGCGATGCAGATTTATTAAACACAACTTTGATATCCATATTTAGAGCGCTATCTTCAAATAAAATACGGTCTGGTACGCTTTGCGTCTTTTTATACGTATAAAAGAGAAATGCAAACGTGACTACATGTTAAATGCGTTTATGGCAAAGGCAAAGAAGCCGCTCGCTGGGACGCATAAGCCCTAATGTAGTGTCTATGTACCGGATAGCTCGCGGCTATCTGCTAGTCCTCGCCGCCTGTGCTCTCGACGGCTTTTTGCCACTTATTTTGAATCACAATCGGTAATCTTTATTGTTTAATTAAAATATTTTACATTTAGTTTTTTCCATTTATTGAAAATTGTCTCTAAAATTCTTAACGATATATTTCCCTATTGTGACGCTCGAATAAAAGATCTACAGGCTACAGCGTATTAAAAAAATCTCCATTAAAGATGCTAATATATTTGGCTCTTGTTGATAAGTAAAATCGAAAGTCAACATTATTCATTGCATTTTGGTTGTTTCTTATTGTATAAGGGCCGATAAATAGGTATTCAGTAATAATTGAAAAGCGACGGTTACACGTTATGTGGCAATAGCGTCTAGCGAGCAAGGCACAATTATCCCGTCACTACGTTGAGATCAATCAAACCATATCACGTTATGTGGGTCATTAATTATTGTAAACAGTAATTACTTTAATTATTCTTGACAGTCTTTGTGTGAAGTCGTGAAATTATAGCACGCTGTTGAAGGTCGAAATAGGTGTTACAAAAGACGATCTAGGGAGGAGAGGGTATTTTCTGGTCACGAAAACGTAACACTCGAAATAAATTATGTTAAACCGTAAGGAAAAATTAACCTTATATGAGAAACGTAAATTTACTTTATTGGATATATTACAACTGACCCTCATTAATGGCTAGTTTTCACGTTAAAATTATATAAAAAATAATTTTATAAAATTTGATTTAAAAATTGAAATTCAAATACAGGCAATTTTATTTCTTTATGTGAATAGGTAAGTCTTTTATGATATTATTAAATGTACATTTAATGTGTTGGGTTCATTTTCTATGATTAAATATGATATTCAGAAGTAGCTCAGCGTTTACACTACGAGTACTACGCCATGGCGGCGGCGCGGCGACGTGTGCGTTTCATCGCGAGCTGTCAAAGGCACCCCGTCAGGTGATCTTTGGGTCCGTGACTCAACAGTTACACTAACGAACCGGTGCGGCGCGTGCTTCATTGTGTCGTATTATCTATGATTATCTCGCAAGCGTAGATATAGACTTATTCTATAACGTATGCGGTATGGTGCAATATCAGAATTAAAACAATAAGCTTTAATAAAGCGGTTGCTTACTGTAACTCTTTCAAATGATCGTAATAAGTTGGGTAACTTCAGTGGCTTTCATATAAGTCGTGTAGATTCAAATCTCATTTTTTGTCAGCACTTGACCTCATACCCTTCACCTATCTACAATTAAATTAAAAAAATTAATTGAACACGATAATACTCAATACATAGGTACATGGACTTAGCAAATTCCAATTGTAATAAATGTCAAACTTCTTTGTCCTTATTAGTTAGTAATTGCGAAAGAAAAGGCGTATATTATACATTGAAAACATAAAGAATCATTTCTATATATTATTTAAAAAATAAGACTACACAATCTAATCATTTGGCTTACTATTACAAGGTTCTATGTTATAATTTTAGTAATGCTACAAGGTTCTATGTGTCATTAGCTACAGTTTTGCAAAAACAAACCACTAGATAGCGGCACTATAACTACGAAATATTCAATTTTACATAGTTCTATGTTGTTTTTTTACGATAACAAAATAACGAAGTTCTAATTTTATTTTATTATTCTTAATTTTATTATTCTCTTAGTAATGAAGTAGTAGGTGCATACTTCAAAGTCTATTCACGGGTGATATGTAATAAAGCTCTAGTGTACCCTATAATGTTAGACTTGTCTCGCCGACCATAAATATTCTTTCTGATTAATACAATTTAGTTTAGTACGATTCTTATCGTTGGTTATTATGTTTCATTAGCCTTGTAAACGATCTGATCCGTCAAAACGATCCATCAAGGTGTTAAGTAGAATCATCATTTTTTGACTTGGTATCTATGAGGTATTTATTATTTATCGTAGAGTCCGTTAACACCTGCCAGCGATAAACGTTATCCAATCTTAGTATACAATATGGGTGTAGAACTTTTTATATATTTCATTAAATTACTTATATTGTTAGAAACGTTTAAAAGAAAGGTGGTATACGAGTGTTTTATTTTTACTTTACGTTGGATGGTGGTTCAATATCTAAGTTTCACAAGGAAATTGAAGCCTTGTTGTTTGTTGTTGTGTATGTAACTGATAAGGAACTTTTAATTATCTTGCCATTTATAAAAAAATCAAATCTGTTAAAAACTATGATAAGTTCTAAATGCTACTAATTACTATTACTAGACTATTTCTGTATAAATTCATTTATAATTTAACTAAACTAGCATTGCCCGCGGCTTCGCCCGCGTCAGATGACCAAAAACCAAATTCTTAGGTTTTACAATTATTAGTATACTCGTACGTTGCAGTTTTTGTATTTTTTCTCAGAAATGAGATATTTTCCTGTGGTAAAAAGTATCCTATATGTTGACCCAGATAACCAGCTATCGTCATACCAAATTTCATCAAAACCTGTCCAGTGGTTTTCTCGTGATGCGGTAACAGACAGACAAAAATTCTAAAAACTATAGATTTCGACTCTGTACCGATAATAATGTTTATCTATTTTATATATTTCTATTTCAATTAAATTTTCCAAAAAATATTTAATGTACAGATTCGACTTAGTTACAATTTTATTATATGTATAGACTAGCGGCTCACCCTCGCTTTGCTCGGGTTCGCCTCTAGAAAAACACTAATAGAGATCTATTAGTTCCCACGGGAACGGTTCATTTTTCCCAAATGAAAAGTCACCTGTTGTTTCACCGGCAATATAAGGTATCAGAATGTAAAATTTTACTAAATTAGGTGCATAAGTTGTATAAGTTATTATAGTTTTTTAACTATCCCACGGGAACTATTTAATTTTCTGGGATAAAAAGTATCTAAGATGTTGCCCGGGGATATAAGGTACCACCATGCAAAATTTCATATAAATCGGTCCAATAGATTCGGAGATTAGCCCGTACAAACAGACAAACAGACAGAGAAACAAAAAATTTGAAACGTTCGACCTCTACTGTTTTATTACAGTATAGATTATGCCCCTACAAAGTACTACATTAGTTTTTAAAAGTGAACTTTTTTTCACTTCAAGTTCTTTCTTTCAAGATAATTGTTATTTTTTTATAATGAAAATGATGGTTGTGTTTTAAAATACATTTTTAACAAAAAGAAAAACTGATTTTAAAGACATGTGACTTTTAAATGTATAATGTTATGAAGAAAGTTTTGGTTATTGCTTGATATTTGAGCGAGCACTAAACTGACATGGCGCGGCGTGACCAGGCGTTCTGACGGCACCGGTCACCGCGACATCAACTGTCTGTGACATTTGAAAGCATTACCACGCGAATATCAAGTATTAATCTGGATTCTCGACCTACATTCATGTAAACGATGATCCGAAATCGTTAGTCACGATCGAGAGATTAATATTTTGTTTTTATAAGTTGTCTGTGTGATTATCGAGGCAGGCTGAGCGCCACGTTTTCACAACGTTCGATGTGCGAGTATACCGGTACGAAGGAGGCTAAGTTCGGGATCACGACGTCGCTGCTCAACTTTCGACTGTAGCCGTCGATTAAGAATTGCTTGCGACAACATTGGATTGATCGATGTAGCCCTTGGCATTTGTGCGATATAACTGTAAACTATAGATGACACACATAGTTAGTGACTTATTGAACTGACATATGTTTTAAATACTTACTAACCACTCCGCACTATCGCGTCTGCTTAATCATTTTCAGTGCTGTAAAGAAGTACCATAATATTTCAAATTATCAAATAATATAAAAAAACTGAAAATTCATACAGAACAGTCTTGCCCTGATCCTATTTACTTTTTAGTTTTTCCCCGTTTTTAGTAATAATGTAGTAGAATTTAAAGGTCCGAGCACACAGATGTTTAGGACTCAGATCGTCACAGTGATAAACATCCAATACTAGTCCCGAGTCGAAATCGAATCCACAACTTCCAGAGAAGAGTTAGTACTATTCAATGTACACGTCAAGTTATTGAGAGTTGTAAATAAAAAAAACATTGCGAGTTATAGAAACACAATTGTGTTTCTATTAAAAATATGTGTACAAATAATGACATTTCAAGCCTGCTTTTAGTAAAAACTTGATAAAACGTAAACGGCAGCGGTGCGTCAAAGAAAGTTCTTGTTTAGGTCAATAATAGTGTGTGGGCGCGCGCGCAACTACAACGTGTAATTATACGGTTATAGGGCACCGGCACACCCCTGCCTCGCCACTCAGCACCCCGTCACGATCGAGTGTTAAAAAATAACCATCTGTTCAACCATAATCGGGATAGCGCCCGCTGGGTCAGTAATTGACCGCCGATATACTGTTTTCTAAATTAAAGTTTTTACGATTAAACTGTTAGAAAAGGGTCAACAAACAATTTTAATATATAAGTAAATATTATATTTCTTGGCTCTACCTACCTTATTGAAATTACTTATTTATATTAAATTAAAAATGAAGTGTTTTACCTTTTTATTTCTAAAAGTTATTTGTAATTATCTTCAATTATTGTAAACAGTAAAGTAAACCAAGATGTGATTTGTAAAGAAAAAATTAAGATTATAAATATAAATTCAATTGTTCTTCCTTTGTTATCTGTGAAGTTATACCTAAACATGGTAACTATAGCAACCCATCTATTTTAAAAGTTTCTATTTTCAACCACTGGTGCCATACACAAGGTAATAATATAGTAATAAATAATTAACGATCTACTGACTTGATTTATTCGATACGTATAATGTATTATTATTTCAAAGGATTAACCTCGTCTAGTTATAAAAAAATAATAACCCATTGGGCTTTCTTTGATAATAAACCACTATTTAATTACTAAGTATTTGTTTTAGAAGTAAAATAAAGATTTTGAAAAAATAATCAGAACATTTAAATAATTTTTTATAATCAACGGCGTCTGATATAATTCCATTAACTAAAACAGAAGTTGGGAACAAAAAATGTGGCAGCGTGTTATATTAAAATTATTAATAGTGTAATTTAAATCAATTTCCGTTGAGCGGGTTAACCCCTTAGGTAGGGCGTTACTGGCGTTTATGTTTTAAAGCGGCGTGTAATCACCGTAGTCGATCTTTGACAATGCCGCATCAGCTGTGATTTCTACTTTATCACTAATTTAATTTTACATGTAGAGCACCTTAATAGTGCCTTTTTGAGAGAGTTTTTATATCTTTTTTTATAATATATGACAATTGTTAGAGGTATATGAGTTATAACATAAAACTAAACTATGATAAAATTAATGATTGGTATTTAACAAAGGCACATCAGAAAGGACACAACTACAGTCTACAGTAGAAGGAATTGTCTTTATAATAAAATATCTGGTAATGCTTTAAAACATAAATGGTTTAAACATAATTCACACTGAAGGAAAAGAGATCTCACAAGCAAATTTAAATCAGGTGGTAAAACAAGACAGTACGCCTACTTTGTTAGTAACACGTGCTCTTATAACAATACTGTTACTAGCCTTCACTCCATTGTTCCGGTTGGCAGTAAAGTAATTGACTCAAAGTTTTGCTTTGCCATGCTGCGCGCAGGTGGCGCACAGATCCTTGTTGTAAATGAAAGTCGATTGTTTGCGCTTTACTACTGTTATTATGCAGGTTTCAAACACTAATTTTATAGCTATTTGTTTGTGGGAAATATTTTTGTTAGCCATTGTTGAGTTTATGATTTGAGGTCTTGTCTTGCTTTTTTAGATAACCTTATGAAGTTCGCCTGTTTTGTAAAATCATATTTTCATTCCTATATATTTTTGCACAAAGATATTATTTTTTACAATACTTTAAGAAATTATATAATAATGATATTTTTGTTACATAAGATTTTAAAATGTATAATATTATTTTAATATCGATAAGCTAGAAAGAAATATCTACCAATAAAGCTTAACGGTGTTTGAATTTAGAAATAGATTTCGATATAAATCGAACTATTAATAATC